CATATTATAGGTCCTTTATAAAAGATTTTGCGGCTATCGCTGAGCCATTGTTAAAATTAAAAAGGAAAAAGGCAAGATTCTCGTGGACGGCCGAAGCCAATAGTGCTTTCGAAAAATTAAAACAAGCATTAACGCAAGCCCCTGTGTTGAAATTTCCTGAAAAGGATGAAAATTTAGAAATTTCAGCGGATGCTTCGGATTATGCGGTAGGAGCGGTACTTTCGCAAAATCAGCAGCCCGTGGCATTTTTTAGCCGAACTTTAAATCAAAAACACAAAGAAACTATTCCGCGACCGAGAGAGAGGCACTTGCAGTTCTGTTAGCAGTGCAAAAGTTCCGAGTCTATTTTGGAAAGGCGCCGATAACAGTATACTCTGATCATGCGGCGGTAACTAGATTGTACTCAGGGAAAAAATTTATCCCCAAGGTTAATAAGATGGGCACTCAAGCTGCAAGAATATAATCTGGTAATCAAGCATACCCCCGGAAAGGAAAATATCGTAGCAGATGCCCTATCAACGAATTAAATTAGACGAACAAGGGTAATACCGTAAAAGTTGCAATGCTGACAGCGTGTACAATAAATTCCCGAGAAACTGTAATAACCGAACTGGGTAAGGATCCTGAGTTTGGAAGTATTTATGAGTATTTGAAGGATCCTGAAAATTTTAGCCACCAAGATATTGTGGCGATAAGAAATAGGGCGGCCCATTACGAACTAATAGATGGTCTATTATTTTATACAAAAACTACGAATTCCAACAACGAATTTCGACCTGTTATCCCAGCTAGTCTTAGATTAAATATCCTGCAAGAGCTCCATGACAGCCCTTTAGCTTCTCATGCTGGTATTCGAAAAACTATCCAACGCGTACGCGAGGCAGTCTACTTTCCTGAACTGCAAAAGTTAACAAGGGCGTATGTCCAGTCCTGCCCAACATGTCAAGCCAGTTAATTATATTAATTTCCGCCCGGCCGGGTTTCTAAATAGTATTAAATCCGAATTTCCAAATGAAATAATTGGCATCGATTTATTGGGCCCTTTCCCAAAAAGTCAGTTAAATAAAAGTCGCTATCTCCTTGTTATGGTTGATCATTTTAGTAAATGGACCGAAATTGTTCCCTTAAAACGAGCCTCCGCGAAATTAGTTACTGATTCTATTTTAAATAAATATATTTTAAAATACGGGGCGCCCCTAAAAGTTATATCGGATAATGGTCCTCAATTTGTAAGTAATATATTTGAAGACATGTGCCAAAAACTGGGCATACGTCATTTAAAAATGGTCCCGTATCGGCCGCAATCAAATATAGCGGAACGGGTCAACAGAAATATAGTGAAAATTATCCGTAGTTATGTTAAAAATTTTCATAAAAGCTGGGATAACTATGTCAATGAATTTGCTTTCGCCCTTAGGACCGCAAAACATGATACAACGGGCAAAAACTCCTGCTGAGTTATTTCTAGGCAGAAAGATTATAACACCGTTAGATAAACTATTTTATGTGCAACAAAGAGCCCCAGAATTTAAAATGGGTGATATAGAAAAACTAATAAAAGAAGCAAAAAAGAATACGGAAGTAGCACAAAGAAAACAAAAATTGTATTATGATTTGAAACGACGGGGAGTAACTTATAAAGTAGGGGATGAAGTTACTAAAAATTAAGCATTCACTTTCTTCAGCACCAGAAGATAAAACTGCCAAATTTTTTCCACGATTTGAAGGACCATATGTTATAGAAAAAATAACTCACGCTGTTGTAGTGTTAAAGGCCAAGAAATGGTGAAACCTGTTCCGCAAACATTGATCAAATCAAACCCTACTATCGATCGTAATAAAATGCAAATCTTTTCAGATCTTTTGCAGGATCCGGCACGGCAGACACCGCAGGTACAAGTTCCAGAGGTGGGAAAAACGACAAGTACAAGGGCAAGCCAATGAGAGACAGAAGCAAGTGAAAAGAAAATTGCCCCGCGGAAAAATTGAAGGTAGGTACAAAGAAAAAGAAGCCGTTCCACCGTCCAGAAAACAGAGTTCACGAACACCCCCAGAATGAAGAAGGGAGAAGGACGACGACGTATGTGAAAAAGACCGGGAGAAAAGGACGGCAACTATAACCCGGCTGTAAAACGGAAGATTGACTCATCCGACAGAACTCTCCGCAGCAAAAGTCGCCGAACTGCGGAAGGGCCATCAGCGGCGGAGGAAAAAAGTACAAGAAAAATTTGAACGGCCAACAACGAGGTCCAAGCAGGATCACGACAGAAGTTTCCCGGTTCCACCAAGACCAGCTGCCTTCAAACGGCCAAGACCACAAGCAGAGGACAGAAGGAAGATGTTCAAGGGTGGCCGTACTGGTGAAAAAACGGAAGCTTCCAGAGGAAAGCACTGAAGGGCGAGCCCGTACAAGAAGGAGGATCAACCAAGCTACGGTCTGCAGCACCTTTAAAGACTGGGCCCAGAAAAGGATGTCCTGAATATTACAAAGATAAGTAAAATTTTATGTTACTTTGCAAACTTAAGTTAATCTTTCATTCTTACTGCAAGTGGCAGATTTCAAGAAGTTTTACCTCATGCGAGGTCTACCTTTATCGCCAAAAGGGCGAGAAATGAGTTGTGACCGATTTTCTTATTATGTTTTTCAATTACTCGCGCGTAAAACTAAAGTTGATGTATAATAGCGTTGTGTAAAGACTTAAATATTGTAAAAAGTTATTGTATAAATTTTATTTAAAACATTCTAGCAAGAAAGAAGTTTTAGTCTGAAAGACTTTTTGAAATGTAGTATTATTTCAATGTAGAAAGAATTGGCACTTGCTTTGAAAAGAATAGAAGTTAACAATGTACTACTAATGTATGTTTTCAAATGTGTAAAATTAACGGCATGTTGATATGTTCTTGTATACATGTGAACTGTTATTTTAAATGTTAAGAAATACCGTGATATGGTAAAAGTGAAAGTAATGTTAAAAAAATTTGTTATTCGTGTGACTGTAAAGATTAAATCATGGTGAATATGTGTTAAAGGTTGAATGATGTAGTTAGGCTCTCTGACGCTACACTTTAGAGTTAGCCACTTTCAGAATAGTACCTCAGGGTTCTAGAGTTGAAATTAGGGTGTGTTAAGAGGTCTCGTTATGTTGAATTTTAACACGTTAGTGTTTTGATTGTAGGAGGAAGTGTGGAACACATAGACAGAAACACATTCGTGTTTGGTGTTTTTTTACAACACATGTCAGAGAGCACGGGGAGAGATAATTAAAATAGTCATGAATGAAATAAGAATGTTAAGAAAGTATATTCTATATGTTATTTGCAATGTCATTCTGTAACATTTCATTAAACTAGTTTTCCTTCCAGATCTCTGGAAGGAACCAGAATTGAATAAAGCTCCTGTTTAGATGCAGTACAGATGAAAAAGAAAAAAGATTGTTGTATATTCCGGGAGCTGCTATTGTAACAAATTTCTTTCTTTTAAATTTTCTAGTTTCTAGCTAAGTTATGTTTGTAAAAGATTGGCCTCGCGTTAGTTTCTAGAGCTAAAAGTTTTCAACAAGGTCGTTTTAGACCTCAGTTTCAAACTAATTAACTCTGGCGGGAAGTATGTAAGGATCTTAAGTTTTACTAACGTTTATTTTATTTTAAATCTTTACTATCACTTCTTATTTTCTACTTCCGGCCAGAATTATAAGCGTGAAGGAGTTTATGCAAAGTTGTCTGGCGAACGCCAAGTATTTAAGTGTGGCCTTTTTGCCAAGCAGAAGAGAGGAAGCAGTGAGTTCGAAGCAGGCCGCTTACCTTAGAAGTTACGCAGTTGCTACTTTGCCTTCCAGGCCAGAGGTTTTAATCCTCTTGATAAATTAAACGTATTGTAGTGTTCACAGTCTCTGTGCTACATACGCTTTCTGTTATTATAAGGCCAATCTTATTCTAAAGTTAAATTAGAGTTTAGTTTTATTTTGATATCTTTTAAGTTAGACCCCGAGTGGAGGGTCATTGTATTCCGAAGTACGGAAGTCATTGTATATAAAGAAAAAAATAAAGGGTTTTGTATACCCTTCGTCTGTATCCTGTCTACTTACTACAATTAGTGAACATAGCTTTAGTAAGCTCTCTGTTCTAGTCAGGTCATTGTATGTTTCCGAAGACGGTTAGAAGAAACATTGAACCTGATAAGGTTACCATGTAATTTTTACTCACAAAACTTTAGATGAGGTGTAGGTGCAATTCGCACGCTCCTTGAACATTTATTTCGCAACTGAAACTCGAAGTGAGAATCGTGTTCGAATTACGCCTCTTCAGATCTCAAGATGCAACTGTAATAACCTTTGGAATTACGTATGTATAGATTTCTAAACTAAAACTTCATTTATGATTTACTGTAATTTATATATTATGCATATTCAGATTTCATCGCTGAAGATGTTTCATCAAAGAGGAATTCTCTTAGTATGATAATAGAATAAGTTGTTCTGCACTCAACGGCTACCGACTTTGTTCTAATTGGTATTTTGTTTTGCGTTTTGGGCAATTACACTCCGTGGTTTCTTTCTGAGTTAATCAGTGAAGTTAGTTATCCGTGGAAACCAGAAAATCTAATTACTAATATTGTATTTACTTAAATTAAAATTTTTGCTTTTGTTGTTTATTTTCGTTGCCATTTAATTCTTCCATTACAATTTTTTTCGAAAGTATCACTTATGTTTGGTAATAAATATCTGTAATGTATTTGGGAGCGTCAGTCAGTTTCTTGGTTCACACAATAGAAAAGAAAGATTTTATTCAGATGTCCACTTTAAATGAATCATGTAGATATTTCATAGATTCGCAATTATGAGTGTTCTAAAATAATATATCTTAGTAGATATAAGTTTAAATATATTTGTGCAAACTTAAAAATGAATTTGGAAACCAAAGACGCTTCAAATTTTTGCTAAAAATTAATTTTATACAGAATAATAAAACTACAACTTTAAAGAACATTGTAAAATTTACTTGCATTTTTAAAAATTAAGTAACTATTTTAAGATATATTTTCCATCAACAACTGCATTTTCATAATCATCCGTTCACTCGAGAAAGCGTGAAACCATGCTGATCAATTACTCAGCAAAACCTGCATAGAAGAAAGGCGAACATTAATTATTTGAGAGTTTTGAGTTTTCGTCTTGGTTTAGTTTTTTATGATTTCTTATTCATTTTAGATTACAATAATAATTTTAGTAGTTGTATTATAAAATGATTGGCAAATTGTCTTACTGCACTAATAGCGCCAAGCAATGTAATGCCGAAAGCCCAGTGTTTATTTATATACCATCAGAATTAAAGTTTGACTGATCAATATATTATTTCTGCAATAGTGGAGCAGGAGGCTAATATAGTTGACCGTACTAAGCAGAAATGACAAACTGATTTCTCGAGTGGGATTTGAATCGAGACAGTTCATGAATGATTCACTTCTAAAAACAATAGACGCTGTTTAATATGGATTGACTGACACTTATATCTATAATTTATTAGTAATCAAAAGGTATAAACATTAACGTTTCACATTTCAAGTTCATAGATGAGACGGTTCTTAACTAAAAAATGAATAGCAGCTTTTTTTCCTATTTAAGATTTTATGATGATTTTAATAGTTGCTTTTTAGTTATAGTAGTATACTGATATTATTTCATGAGGCAAATACATGGCAACACACAGTACCTGATCAAGACGAGCTACGACTGATGACGAAAAATTAATGGTCATATAAAATAAGTGGAATGATGAATTAACTCTTACGAGTCGCCATGTTATGTACTTATAACTCTTTTATAGTAGCTTTAGGAAGTTCCTTAATATATGCAGCGGCCGAGCGGGTAAACTCTTTGAAGACCGGTAGTTATGACCTGGGTTCGATACCAGGCCAGCGGACTGGTTGCATTGGCGTTTTCGTATATTTCAAACATGTGTAACGAGTATACGAGCCAGTTTCCCTTAGAAAGTCATCCACGAAGTCATCCCTCAATCTAGGTAGTGTGCTTTGGCATAATTCAATACATAATTCAATTTGGCATAATTCAATTCACCCTTGCGTGATTTGGCATAATTCAATAAACGAAACCAAATCATTCTTAATAAATGCTGCGGGAAGGAAAACTACTTATTTAAAACTTTCAACACATTTTGTGATAGTGGAATTTTTATGAACAATAAAGATGAACAAATAGATGATTCTCTCTCGTTATCGACTTAATGTTGCTAAGTTAAGACGAACATTTTTATAATAAACTGATGATTTATAAAAAGGGTAATTCTGAAGAATTCTGAAGTCATCATTTATGACAAATAAAAATTCTGTATTTATACGTTAAGGCTTTGTAAATATTTAAGAACAAGCAAAATACACTACATCAAAGAAAATTCACAGCCTCATAATAGATTTCATCGCACTATATCTTTTGGGGCTGGTGGAGAAAAAGTATTGCCAATATTGTCATTTATTTTAAAAAATGCTTAAAATTAAACAGATGAATTGAAATAGATATAACAGTCTTGTCTTGGTAATATTATATTATCATGTCTTTTTACGCAAATGAATTTAAGAAATTTCAAAAATCCTTTTTTCCCCAATATTTGCTAATATCTGAATTTTGTTTTTCTGCTTAATAATTTTAATACATATTGTTCTAATTCATATGGATTTCATGTTATGTATAATTAATTTTACATAAATCCTTCAGTGTCTAATTTATAAGTTTTATTTTAAAGTCTTGTATTTTGTCAGGTCGTTTCATGTCGTAGTTTTTATTATGTAAATTTCGGAATGTAACAGTACTACCGTATAAATAGGTAATGAATTTGAAGATCTATTAGAGCTACGTGAAACCTTGATTATTATCTAAATATTATCTGAAACTTCACACCATTTTCTCACCTGGACTTCTTACCTAAAGGAGAGTGCATATATATATAATCCGATAATTGCGAACTGAAGGCCAAATTAACAGGGGTATAACGTATAGCCTCCATTTTGTATGTACGTGTTAAAAATAATGTTGTAAATCAGTTAAAAAAGACATTGAAAATTCAATCAATATGTAAAGGAATTACAAGTTTACTTTGATTATCTCAGTAAAAGTATTGTAAATATGAATTCAGATAATATTTAAATGTGTATATAACTGTCTTGATTTTATGAAACTATCACATGTAATTTGTACAAGGCAATGTCTGTAATTAACATGTCTATGCTTTACGGAAGAAATAATCCCTTTTGCCAGGATGACTATTAACATTGTAAGACTTTTACAACGAAGTCAGGTCAGTGGTTATCTCAGGCAGCTTTCAGCTTATGTCGTATACATAACAATCACTAGTCTAATGAAGAAGCTAATTTTTGAAATTACAGATCGTTTGCCTTAACACTGCCTGCGAAATTCTTTGAATTGCAAGAAATTTCCTGACTTGGATGTATTATGTTGGCCTGTACACTTTTTTAAGTTTTCGGTGAGGCTCTTAGCGAGAGAGACTTAAGTCTGGGCATGACAGAGACTCTAAGCTCCAATTCCTTTTGTCATGAGGGAGAATTGTTGTTTAGCTAAAGCGACGAAGCATGCGAGTGCTATTTTATTAAAAATAGAGAAAATTACATGGAAAAATTTCTAAAAGACATTGACTTGCATTTACCTTTTAGTTTAAAACTACGAAATCACTCACACAGTTAAAAATTTTATTATTATTTATAAATCAGCTCGTTAATTAAACTTTAATTGGATAAACTTATCTATAATAAGCGTTTTTATCCATTTGATTATTTGTAAGCTTCCTGTGAAAGAAAATAAATTATGAATAACATTTCGAATCTCTTAAAATCCTGAATACTAACTCTGGACCCTTTGCACCAAAGCAGTAATCAGCTCTTGGCTATCTGAATAATCCTTGTTAGTCTGAGAACTGTGAAAGAACTAAAGGCTTACATTATAATTCTCCAATTAGCCATTTTTCAAGGAGAATCTTTGCTTCAATGACGAACTTCATAGAAATATTGTTCGTTCATAAAAATAGCTGCAACAATAAATTCGCAAAAATTATTAAAATCTTTTTGTGAGATCCATTTTAAAATATTACAAAATTAATCATTGGAAGATAATTTATTTGAATGGAATGAGTGTCGTAATAATAAATAAAACTTATCTGCTTCAATGGGGAATATACAAGGGAAGAAATTAAATATATATTTCAAAGAAAATTTTGAAAATTAATAATTTTTATAAAGTACTGCTGAGCAGTCATTTCATTAATATTCCCAGTTTCAGTTTGAACTTTCACAGGAAACTTGTCTAAATTCGATATTTCTTAGCAAATGCAACTTTCCCGAGCTTCAAATTGCGAGAATTTTGAGACAGATTTAAGCAACAGTGTATCATCTGTTGCTTCTTCTCTTCCATTTAACTGTTTCATTACACAGAGTTGACACGAAAGTAGAATATTTTAATTAAAGGTGACTTTTAATAGAGTGGATAAGACTTCAAAAACTGGACTTCTATTAACGTATGTTAATAATTGCCAAAGGCAACGTTTCTTAAGTAACGCATTTTTAAAGACAGGAGAAAAATTCTAACTGAGGAAAGTGTGCCGTATTTTTAGAACTACAACTTTGCGAACTTTTAATGAAAGTTTTCATTCAAGGATAATCTAATTAACTTTATAGTTAGATACTTGAGTAGCAATAATTATACTTTAAATTAACTTAATCTTGCCCATTTAAGGAAAATAAGATATTTTTACCTTACCTAAATAAATCTTAGATTGTTTCTTCTTATTTCCAACTGTAAGAACGTTATTAATTTCTCGAATTTCACAAATATTCCAGTTATTTTGTGTAGAGAAGAAAGGCATTTAATTGATGTAATTAAGGTTGGAATTAAATTCGCATTACGTTTTCAAATAAGAATCTTCATTTGCTAGAACTCCAAATATTCGGACGAACTAGGATCATGGCATATGTGAATAGACTAGTTGCTGTTTTTTTATTGCCGTTTCTTATTTCGTTTTTAGATGCCTGTTGCATATTTATTGCAATACAAGATAGGGAATTTTATTTTTATATCATATTTTCTTCTAACAAACATTATACATTTAATAAAATATTATATTTCCCAGAAGCAAAATATAAAACACTGTTTTTTCATCAAAAGTAACCAATAGATAGAACTGCAAATATCTGGACGAACTGGGATTATGGCCTATGTGAACAACCGAATTGCTGTTTTTTATTCCGTCTTCTAATTTCGTTTTGTTGTTGCGACTTATCTCATTTTTCTGATCGTGACATCAGAACAGCCCACAAAATTCATCGTGGCAGCGAGTGTAAGATAGCGCCTGTCATTGGCAATAAATAGCCTTGAGCACCTTACAGGTGACACTACGACTTTGCTCAGTTCCGCCATCTATTTTGATGGAGAGCATACCGGGGGGGGGACAGGTGCAAGGGAATCACACCTCTCTTCTCCTACCATCAACCTCTCGTGAGTACTTTCTGCTCGTCACATATTTAGAGTGCTTCCACGCCCCACAGATGCTATATATTTACAAATACCTATGCCTTCTCGGGGATTCGAACCCAGGCCCTTCGGTACGACAGTCAGCGGGTGGCTCATTTCGTTTTTTAGATGCCTATTGCACATTTATTGTAATCCGAGTTAGGGAAAATTTTTTTATATCATATTTTCTTTTAAGAGACATTATGCATTTAATAAAATATTATATTTTCGAGAAACAAAATATGAAACACTACTTTTTATCAAAATTAAACAATGAAATTATTTCTTATTTCCCTAAGCGTGCAGCCAACTTCTACATCAACTAAAATGGAACACTAAATTAAATATTTAGTAATAAAGGCCGGAAAAATTAATAAACCCATTTTTATTTTTACTGTAGTTTTAAACACTTAATGATATGTTTACTTTTATTCTACTAAAACTGAAAAAAAGAATTTCTTTATTAGTGTAGAGCAAAGTGACCTATTTTTGTTCAACTAATATTAAATTTAATCTTATATTTTAATTGATAGCAAATAATAAACAAATATTAAAGATATAATGCATATTATTAAATTTTTGTAAACCA